ACATCCTGGTGCACCTTTGCCCATTTCAGTGCCCGGGCATACAGCAGAACGAGCGAGTGCTGGCTCTTCCCAGCGCTCGTGGCTCAACTCACAAGGAGCCACGCCCGTGAGCGCCCCATGCAGGTTTCGGGTTCAGAAGGGTCAAGCGGTTAAGCTCGAAAGTTTCCGAAGTGACTACGTAAAGAAGCATGACAAAGCTCGTAGGCCTTAGGTACCCTACGGCTTTGGAACTGAAAGTGATGCTACTCTAAGGAGAGTTTTCTCTTTGAATGACCGCCGACCAACCCAACGTGCCTCATGCGTGCTTGTGTCGTCGCTTGGTTTACGGGGCAGACGTACCGACCGATTGTAAACTACGGCCGAAACCAAGCCACGAATCATCGGCGACTGCGATGACACCCGCGCGGTGGGCAGCGATTCTTCAGTGATTCTTCAAACCCTAGCCGGATCTTTGCGACATTGTTCTTCGGTATCGCAAGCTTCCTTCCACATGAGTGCCTACGAAACAGAGTCCAGTGTGGCTTATGCTCCTGCTTAGAACCAGCTTCCAGTACGTTACAGCTTCCCACACCTGGTGCAGCCAGCGCGTGAGGTTCCAGATCTCTCAGTGCCGTGCTGAAGCCACAAGAATTCCAGTCGAATGCCAGGAGCGTTCTGGACCTCCGTCCTAGAAATCGTGGCTCGAGCGTATTCTTCTTGATCCTGGACTCTGCTCATCCTGAAATGTCTTCATTCAGGAGGCTTTGGCGTTTCTTTCTTGAAGTTTCGAGGTCTCCTCAGTGTGCAGGGGTTGGTGCTGAACGAGTTCCCCCCGTGCCGTTCCTCTCGTCACAGCCCACTCCCACCAGCCTTTTCTGCACCGTGCGAGGAAGGCATATGGCCTTCGTCGTGCCAGGACTGCCAAGAGGCCTGCACAGATTTCCCGTACGTGCGCTTAGCAGGACTAGACATGTGCCCATGTTTCTGAGAAGAAGCCACCTCGCTCTTGTGAAGGAATCTCGTGCTCGCTTCTGCTTGCTGTCGCTGTGCCCCCCTTGCACCCGGCTTTAGACGTCCTGAGCATGCCCGACTGAGAGAGCTTGGTAGCAGGTCTCTGCATCTTGGCTTCAACCCTCAACGCACGTGGGCCGCCTGATAGCCTTGCCCGGATCACGGGCCAGGGGGCGCTATAGGAACAATGTGCCTTAAACCCGAAAGGACGCCCGGCCAGGGCCTTGTTCCAGACTCGATGCTGCAATGTGCCTTGTCAAGAGGGCCGCCCGCCAAGATGTTTCACGCCTTGTCTGTGTGTGGGTCTTCCACTGCTGCTGAATCTTCGAGTCAAGGTGGGCTGAAGAGGGCCTGCGCAGTGGGGCGTTCGAAGCGAGCTGTGGCGCAGGCGCCAGTGCTTTGGCACGCAGCCAGTGTTCGGAGATCTTGATTAGGAGACCCAACACAGACTCCGGAACCTGGTGACGCGCTCGTGATCCGTGATTAGGCGACAAGCTCCAGAGCAATTCGGAGCTCGAAGCAGCCGGCCGAAAGCAAAAGCTGTCAGTACCGAGGGTACTCCAGGAGCTCTTCGTGAAAATTCGTAGGCATCAAGGATCAGATTGACTGGTGCCAACTCTCGGCAGCTTTTGTCGCAGCATGTGGTCAGAAATCTTCTACAACTGAATTCCCTGCTTGCGCCTCTGCACATCACTGGCATTTCGTTGCCAGTTCGGTGTACACGCAGGCTGCCACCCTGCGCGTGTGACATCCAGCCTTAACAATAAGAAGCGTCTGATGCAGGACCATGCGGGACACGTCGCACTTCACAGTACAAGCAGGTGCACGCCAGAGCTCTCTTGTTTTCCGGAGATATGGCAGCCATGCCTCAACGCCTTTGAATCTGTGTGCTGTCTTGTTGCTTGGCATCTCAAGCTCCCACCTAGTGGCAGAGCCCTGACGCACTTCGTGGCGACTGTGTGGATTTGTCCGACATTCAGGGCATGGCAAGAAGGTCCGACGCTCTCCCCAAACCGTAGGCCGAGTGAGTCTCGTGTCACCGCCCGCCACTGCCCGGCTTTCCGTGCTCTGCAAGCAGAGTGGCGCCCGAGCATTGCCCCGCATGCAGTCCGCTATAGTCCACGTGCATCGTTTGTGCAGTGTCTGAAGTCCGGCCCTGTGTGGAGAACTGGACGCTCTCTGAGGCAACACATCCTGGTGCACCTTTGCCCATTTCAGTGCCCGGGCATACAGCAGAACGAGCGAGTGCTGGCTCTTCCCAGCGCTCGTGGCTCAACTCACAAGGAGCCACGCCCGTGAGCGCCCCATGCAGGTTTCGGGTTCAGAAGGGTCAAGCGGTTAAGCTCGAAAGTTTCCGAAGTGACTACATAAAGAAGCATGACAAAGCTCGTAGGCCTTAGGTACCCTACGGCTTTGGAACTGAAAGTGATGCTACTCTAACGAGAGGTTTCCCTTTGAATGAACGCCGACCAACCCAACGTGCCTCATGCGTGCTTGTGTCGTCGCGTGGTTTACGGGGCAGACGTACCGACCGATTGTAAACGACGGCCAAAACCAAGCCACGAATCATCGGCGACTGCGATGACACCCGCGCGGTGGGCAGCGATTCTTCAGTGATTCTTCAAACCCTAGCCGGATCTTTGCGACATTGTTCTTCGGTATCGCAAGCTTCCTTCCACATGAGTGCCTACGAAACAGAGTCCAGTGTGGCTTATGCTCCTGCTTAGAACCAGCTTCCAGTACGCTACAGCTTCCCACACCTGGTGCAGCCAGCGCGTGAGGTTCCAGATCTCTCTCAGTGCCGTGCTGAAGCCACAAGAATTCCAGTCGAATGCCAGTTGCGTTCTGGACCTCTGTCCTAGAAATCGTGGCTCGAGCGTAAGCTTCTTGATCCTGGACTCTGCTCATCCTGAAATGTCTTCATTCAGGAGGCTTTGGCGTTTCTTTCTTGACGTTTCGAGGTCTCCTCAGTGTGCAGGAGTTGGTGCTGAACGCGTTCCCCCCGTGCCGTTCCTCTCGTCACAGCCCACTCCCACCAGCCTTTTCTGCACCGTGCGAGGAAGGCATATGGCCTTATTCGTGCCAGGACTGCCAAGAGGCCTTCACAGATTTCCCGTACGTGCGCTTAGCAGGACTAGACATGTGCCCATGTTTCTGAGAAGAAGCCACCTCGCTCTTGTGAAGGAATCTCGTGCTCGCTTCTGCTTGCTGTCGCTGTGCCCCCCTTGCACCCGGCTTTAGACGTCCTGAGCATGCCCGACTGAGAGAGCCTGGTAGCAGGTCTCTGCATCTTGGCTTCAACCCTCAACGCACGTGGGCCGCCTGATAGCCTTGCCCGGATCACGGGCCAGGGGGCGCTATAGGAGTCTGTTCAGAAGTTTGCTTCTCAGAGGCCAGAAAGACCTACCTGACGTGTCAATGCTCCCTGCCGATGCCAGGAGTCATTCCACCATTCCGCATCCCTCGATAAATTTGATGTGTGAGCTATAGGGGAAAGCTTAAACTTTCGGTGATGGTTCGGGGTATCACTTGGCAGTCTCCTTCTGCTTACCGTCTGAAAGATGCTCCAGCGAGCCATAGCGAGGGTACCTCGTCACGGCATTGATTCTTTTCACGTCGTAGAGGTCAGCATGCCAGCTAGATGCAGGCAAGTAGCAGTCCTATAGTCTTCGCAGTGATGTCCCGATCACCACATGTATTCCGGCGCTTGCAAAAGCAGGTCTGTGGCAGCGCAGTGGCATTTCAATTGCTGAGACTCAGCGCTGCCTCGGCCGCAAACATGACATCAAAACGATCACTTGGGATCAGAGCAAACACGCCCAGGCTTGGTGTGTGCAGGGGCCGTGTTCATCATTTTCAGTCGCCATTTGGCGAGCAGCTCTGCTGGAGGTCTGTCTTTCATCGTGGTACGCTTCGTGTATAGATGCCTATGCTATCGGACATCTGCCTCGCTTGCCACATGCAAGTTGCATTGTTGCACTGCGGCACCGGAGCACTTCAAGCCACCACTCGGAGACATCCAGAAACCTATCCTAAACCCCAAGCCCTAAACCTTAAACCTATTCACAAAAGGATTCCCGCACATCGGCTCAACGGGTCGTGCAGGTTGCGAACAGGTTTTTGCAGGCCTCCGCCATGCTCTCTACGTCGATTGCTTCGCGTTGGTTTGGGGTTTAGGGTTTAGGGTTTAGGGGGTAGGCATCTAAAGCTTTGCCACCTTGTGTTTCTGTCCGTGCCACATGCCACCGGTTGGCCGATTGGCGATTCGGTGCCATCGTCGACTTGTGGGTCATTCCTGCAAAGGCGAAGCCGTAGTTATAAAATACATCTGAGCGCAAAGGCCTGTGCCCAGTTCTTTTGTTGGCTCTTTGAGCCCAGCCTTGCTTGAGGTTTCTGAGCTTTCACCTGGTCCGCTTCTTGTGGCAAGCGCCGCGACATCCACATAACTGTGCCGGCACTTATACAAGCATTGTGTCTCATCTGGTGCTGCCTCACAACTTGCTGCTTGCACCCAGCACGCCCTTGCTGACAATCAGCATGCGTGGCTTCTGTTCAGCAGAGAAACGTTTTAGACCTGTGCATTCCGAGACCACTGGGAGCATTTGACAGTGAAGCACAGCCCGTAACTTCGTCCACGATGCTTCCAGACCCTGTCAGGCCCGTCGGTGACTTAGGAGCATCACACTTGTCACTGCATCGCCAGTCTTCCAGAACATGAACGGTGTCAGACGCGTAGAACTGCAAACCTCGGTGTAGTCTCGGTTTTCTGTTGCAGCCTTTGAGGCCAGGCCTGGGGGCGTTGGCTCTGGGCCTTGCGGCGACTCCGATCGGAAGTGCAGGCGAGCGGCAGGTCTGCAGTATATCTTTGGCCTCAGACCGATACCGAGGCCTACGTGCAGCAACCCTGGCCGAAGCCGGGCCTCTGAGACTCTGAGGTGCCGCAAGCAGCTCTGAGGCGACGGCGCACCCAACTGTGCTGCTGGCGCTGCTGGCGCTGCTGGCGCTGCTCTATGTGCATCCGTACTTGCGCATTTTGCACGCCCATGCCCGGCCTCAGAGGCGCCCAAGCTCTCGACTTGACCAAGCGCGCGGAGCGTGCGAAGCGTGCGAAGCGTGCGGAGCGTGCGGAGTGTGCGAAGCAAGTCGTGAAGCCAACGTCAAGGCGGCGCTGCTGCGGCTTTGTGGGTGCGATCCGCGGGGGCTCCGAGTCCTTCGCAGCCTTGACCCGCATTGCCCCTCTGCAGATTCTTGGGCTGCTGGGGCTTGAATGTGTTGAGCTTCCTTGCCTACAGAGTGTGCGCAGAGGAACCGGGTTTCTGATTGGCTGGAGCTTTGGAGGCCGCTGTGCGCAGAAGGTGGCCTGGCAGATGCAGCAGGTCGGCTGCCAGCTTCCGGCCGTTCTCTTGTTGGACTACAGAGTTCACTTGCCGGCACCCTAGCAGATCCCTAGCAGCTTCAGACCCGCGAGACCTGCGGCGGTTGGATCTGAAATATCTTCAGTGTGTAGATTTCATGCCAGGCTTTCGTAGTCATGCGACGACGCTGCTTGCATGACGCGATAGGGCGCGACAGTCACTTGCGATTTTAGATTCGATCCAAGACCTAGCAAAAAGAACGCCGCTGGAGTCGGCTCGAGTAAGGTATGCCGATTTCCCGGACTCACTTCACGTGTGCCTGGGTGTTGACCACGCCTGGGACTTGTGCTGGGTCCTGCAGCATGCGAGTGCATGCCCAGTCCGACCGCCAGAGCAGACGCCCGTCAAGAGATGCCGGAGCGTGTGCAAGCTGTGCACGGCCCACAGTGAACTCCGACGCTGCAAGCGGCGCAGGCGCTGAGGCGGCCTGGCCCCCGCCCACCCAGCGACTCGAGTCTGGGACGGCATCTGATGGATCGAAGAGTAAACCCTAAACCCTAAACCCTAAACCCTAAACCCTAAACCCTAAACCCTAAACCCTAAACCCTAAACCCTAAACCCTAAACCCTAAACCCTAAATGCAACGAATCTCCCACTCCCAAACCAAAAGTCCAGCTATGTATATGCAAGCCTGGATGACAAGCAGTTCCTTGGAGTTTCTGCCTTCGCAACGTTTTGCTTCAGTTGCAGGGTATGCCAGGCCAAGCAGCGAAACGACTGGATCTGCTCGATGATGAATGAAGCATGAGGCTGTGAGCCACTATATTCATGCAAGTCGCGAAGCGGAGCGAGTCCGCCCGCAAGACGAGCATCAGCAGGACCAGCATGCAGCGTTGAGTTGACGGAGCTGACACATACAGCCTCAACAGCCTCAACATGTGTGCACCTCATAAGTTGTGACCTTATGCCACCTCTCTGATGATGCATTGATTCGGGTGCACCAGCCAGTACTCAAACGTTGTCACCATGCCGGCACCCTCCACCATCTTATCAGTGCGTTATAGGTCATGCTGGTAGAGGAGCTGATTGGCTGTGGTACGGCCATGAATGCAGACGCCTCTATGAACCAAGGTCGTGAGCATGATCCAAGCCTGAAAAGGGAACTGTTCTCTGCTGCCGAGCGTTTTGCAACCTGAAGCCGGGAGCATGCAAGCCACTAGGGTACAGTACGTACCCACCATCATCACCACTAACCGCTAAACTCCACTCGGCGCGTCGTCAGTCTGTAGGACCTCACAGTCCGGAGTTCTTCAATTCAAGCCTTAAATGACCATATGAGACATTCCTTGAGCAAGCCTGCTTTTTTTGGTGTCTCTGGGAACTTGCATTGCTTTCACATATATATATATATCTATCCATATATATATATATATACATTTTTTAATACTATTTTTATTCTTTGCTTTTTCTGTGCGCCTTGCTGTTGTTTCGGGCTTTGGTTTCGAAGCTTCATTGCTGGTTCTAACAAGCGGGTCCTTGGCTTCCAGCTCATGTCTTTATCGGAGGTTCGTCAGGTGATTCCAGGCACCAAGAGACGCCTGCTGTTCAAAGGGTTTAGGGTGTAGGGTTTAGGGTTTAGGGTTTAGGGTTTAGGGTTTAGGGGGGGCTTCTGACTGAGTGAGAACACACCTTTACTGTGCTTGCACGCCTAGTGAAGACAAGCCAAGGCGACGGCGACATGGGCATAGTGGGCACTTAGTGCGTACCACTTGTAGGCTGAGCCTAAACCCGAAACCCTAGTACATGACAAGTAGAGTTGGTGTGTTCGGGCTGGCGCTGGAGACTTGCAGCAGTCAAGGAGCAACAACAAGGACGTAAACCCCTCCCTCCCCCCCTAGACCCCGCAAACGGTTGAAAACGTGCAGAACCCAACTTCGGAAGAATCCGACTTTCAGTCTGGCTGAGAGCAACCCAACTTTATAGAGCAGAAGACGTCAGCGGCCTGTGCACTATGGCCAACATCGTAGAAGATCCTGGAACATTGGGCTTTTTGAAGCCCAAAAAGGCGCCCAATCGGGGCCATGGCGCGCCGGCCGACAGGCCCGGTGTCCTCGGAAAGGCCGGCTTCTAAGACTTGGAGTCTTAGAGTTCTAGGTGGTGCCGATGTTTGCAAAGTTGTCTGGGTGCGGGTTTTTAGGATTCTTACGCTTGGAATGACGGGATGACTCGTAAGTGTTTGGTTGGCATGGCGTGGCGGAGGAAAATGGATTGCAATGTAGGGTTAGAATCGTTTATGGCCAGGTTAAACCCTATAGGAGTTCAGGGCTGCCCTCTTTTGTGCCTAAGTTCTCAGCCCCGAACACCCCAAACCTCATCCCTACTCCCCAATCCCTAAACCCTAAACCCTCGTCCCGAAACCCTCATCCCTAAGCTCCAATGTCTCAATTTCGCGCGAGAGTTTTGGGGTCACAAGAGCCTGCAGAGTCCCTAAGGACAGAAACTCCATATCCGGAGCGCTTTGAGGTCTTGGCCCATGGGAAGCCCTAAACCCTAAACCCCAAACCCCAAACCCGAAACCCCAAACCCTAAACGCTAAACCCTAAAGCCCAAACCCATAGGTGGGCACATTACCTCGAATCCGACTCTGCAGTGCACGTGGAGGCGCTGCAAGGTCACATGGATACGGGTTTAGGGTTGAGGGTTTGGGGCACGGACAGCCCAAAACCCGTTAAATAAGGATCATGTTGGGGAGCCTAGGATGTACCTGAGTTGGCATATTGTTTGTTCTATTTTTTTCCTGGGCCCTGAACCAGAATCTGAAACTGAAGGGGGTCATTAGGGGTAGGGTTTAGGGCCTAGGGTTTGGGGCATAGGGTTTAGAGGCAGGGTTTGGGGCATAGGGTTTAAGGGCTCTTAGGGTCTAGGGTTTGGTGCATAGGGTTTATTCCTGGGGTGACCCTCACAGGGGCTCCTAAACCCTACTGGTAGGGCTTAGTGGTCTGGGGGATCGGGTTTAGGGCCCTCGGGTTTGGGCGGCTTGGGGCCTTTACTGGGAATGTATTGAGTGAGCTTATGTTTTCTTCATGTTATGGGATTCTTGGGTTTTCCAACGCTTGACAAGCTGCTTGACGAGTGAATGCTTGGACTTGAGATGCTGAACCCTAAGCCATAAACCCTAGACCCTAAACCCTGAACCCTAAACCCTAAACCCTATGCACCCGAAACCCTGAACCCTAAGCCCTAACCCTAAATCATAAGCCCGGGGAGGCCCGTGGAGGCAGCAGATCCTCTTGGAGCTCCAACCGCTTCGTCCGGGTCTTGTCAGACCAGGTACCTTGCTTGGCGGTTCATGGTACTTATTAACCAATTGGGTTTAGGGTTCAGGGTTTTGGATTTAGGGTCCAGTTCCAAGTGGCCTCAAGTGGCCTCAAGCAAGTGCCTTGTGGCGAATTGTTAGGCTGCAGAGGCTTTTTGAAATCTGATACATGTTTCTACGACTTCGGAAAAGCTAAACCCTAAACCCTAAACCCTAAACCCTAAACCCTAAACCCTAAACCCTAAACCCTAAACCCTAAACCCTAAACCCGATGGCCTCCCGAGAGTTTGCTTCTGTGCAAGACACTTGCCCAGACATCTCACGGGCCCTTTCGATTGATAGCGGCCAGTGACGCCAAGAGTGGGTTTTAGGGTTTAGGGTTTAGGGTTTAGGGTTTAGGGTTTAGGGTTCCATAAGACTGGTCCCAAGAGAGCGCCGGGCAAATATTATCGAAAAGCCCTACAGTCCTGCTGAACAGACCTCCTCAGGCACAAAGAGCATTGGTGGGAGAACTAGTCCGGCATGGCTGTTGCAAGAAGACTTGGCCTTGTTAGATTCAGAATGAGGCAAAATCAGAAATCATGAAGACCAATTCCCGAGAAGGATCAAGGATGACCTGGGTATTTCTGAAGGATAGCGTACCCGGAACAAGGACAATTGTAAACGCTTGCGCGCGCCGCCTCGGCAGAACCGTCCTCAGGCCCAAGAAATTCGAGAATCCTTTCGCGGGTCTGGCAGGCTCATAAGGTCTTAGGGGATGTGTTAGGGAGGGTCTCGACCGGGGGGGGGGTCCCGTGAGAATTTCCAGGAAGGTCCAAGGGGTCGCACAAGGAGGGCGGGGGGGCTGGGCGGGCACTAAAGTCAGCGTGGGGGAAGGGTCGGGAAGGGGGGAAGGAGACCGGGTGGTCTGCTAGTTCTAGACGCCTCTCGGCTAGAAGCCGTGGCGAATTCATATGACGACTCAAGGATGACAACGTCCTGTGGTATGGAAATGGGGAAAGGGGACCCTTCAAGGAAGAACCAGAAAAAAGAAATCTTCACGAACCATCAATAGAATTCATTCTCAGGCGGACGTGCCGCAGATGGGCATCCGCACGTTGCCCGCGGCTTCAAACCCTCTGTTCCAGAGGGTTTTGAGCCGAGAGTGCCCACGCCAGATAGCTGCCTCCGTACAGATCGTACAGAGCATCGTGGAGGCCGTTTAGCTTGGAAGCCCTGACGACTATGCCAGCCTCAGACATGTGTTTTGCCCATCTTTGCACAGCAGCCTTCGTTTCTGCAGCATTCAGCCAGTGCTGCCGACCGGGGCAATGTTGTTCGACTCACATAACCTGTGGCCCTGTGATTGGCTTGTTTTGGCCCCTGGCATCCAAGCAGAAACACACTGTGCAACGTGGGCAGAAGTCCTTCAGTGATCATGCCGGTCGGTTTGGCGGGCGCTGTGCCATATAAGAGAAGAGTAACGGTTGGTGACCATGCATGCTGCGTGATGCAGAGCTGTCAGCAGATGCCTATGACGTCAGTTGTTGCAGCAGTCGCCGAAATCGCAGCGCACGAGCACGCGCTGTATAATTTCACACCAAAAACACGGATGCTTTTTGCAGCTATCGGACAGTGCTGCGGATGGTAGCAACCTGGTTCGACTCAAGGCACCAAGCCCCCGCACAAATGGCCACACGGCCAGAGAAGAGTGTCGCTGCGCGATGCACAGTTGTCGGCAGATGCCCGTGACATCTGTTGCAGCAGTGGCCGATGTCGCCGCTTCGTG